CAAATCTCGATATAAATCAGTGTGTCTAAAGAGAATATGAACAGTGAGTTAATGAATGGAACACGGGGTGAAAGACGTACGTGATGCCGTTAAAAAAACGCTTGCTTACAAGGGGAGGACTCTAAGCGAGGACACGGAGCATCAAAGAATACCCCAGACAGAGCCGAATTCGGGACGGAATAGACAATCTGGCCTACTCGTCACGCTCTCTCTCGACACCAAGTTGAGACGCCTCCGGGATATGATGTGGGATTTTGGGGGTTCAAGTGTTGGTTGGCATGTCAGCCTTGTTATGGGCTTTGTCAAGTCTTCCATGAATCCATGTTGCTTTGGAGGCGGTCCGGTGGGTCAAGGACCCGCTGGGGGAAGGCACGAACATTGAAAGGGCTGGGGCGTGTGTGTAGCGGACGGAGGCGGGTTGGCGGGCACTACTCCGCAATGGGACTAGACAAGGCTAAAGGCGGGGTAGGAAAGTTGTGCGGCTGATTCAAGGTCCAAAGAGGACATTTTTTGTTTGACAATTCTGGACCCTTTAAGTTCGAAACAGCTTCAAAGTACCTGAATGCTAGTCTTGTCTAGTTATTTGGGAATTTGCACATGTTTACTTTGACTGCGCATAAATCATGGCTTGTTTCCTCTCGTATCACGTTGCCCTTACGAAGGATTGCAAATTTGCCCATCTGCCCTTGTGTATGGCTTTGGTCAATGATATCAACTTGCTCGAGTTCTTGTCCTTTTGGTGGTGTATAAGCCTCATCCTAGGAGCTTACATTCTAGCTAGGACCATTTATAGCCTGTATCTTCACACTCTGTCAGCATTCCCTGGCCCAAAACTGACTGCTGTCACGTATCTCTACGAATTCTACTGGAATCTCGTACGCCCCGGAAGGTTCTTGTTCAAGATCGAGCAGATGCACAAAAGATATGACAAGGACAAAGGAACTTCCTCGTCTACTCCTTTCGGCAGCCGCCGTGGCAACGAAAACATGTTTGCTCACTTGCAATAAGACCCATTGTTCGCATCAACCCCCCGGGAAGTGCACATTAGCGACCCGGCCTTCTACGAAGAGATACATGCTTCTGGAAGTCGTAAACGCACAAGGACGCCAGTTTTGTTTCCACCTATGGCGCTCTGTATACAATGCTCTCCGCCGTAACTCATGAGCAGCGCCGTTTTCGACGCAGCATTCTGAATGACTACTTTTCCAAGCGTTCTGTCCTAAACCTCCCCCGATGCCAGGAAATTCGTTGCATATCTAGAGTCAAATCTGACGTATTCAACTGCGAATGCAAACGTAAATCAACTCGAAAAATCCGAGCAAGGACCTGGTTCCGTGCCCATGATTCCCATCATGGTCGCTGCTCTCACTCATCCGAGTATCCCGAGAGGAGAAAGAACCGCCAATCGACTTAGGAATGAACTCTCTACCGTTCTCGGTGCCGGAACAGAAACGACGGCGCGTGTACTTGCCGTTGCAGCCTACCATATGGGTGCTCAGCCAGCTATCCGCGACAAGCTGCGTTCGGAGTTGAGGGAAGTCCTACCAACGCCAACTCACTACTTGGCCAGAACTAGCTAAATTGCCCTATTTTTCAAATTGACTCATATGAATAGGTCGGGACATGATAACACACTTAACCAGACTGCGCACCCCCACAAAGTCTGCCGTCATCAACGAGTCTCTGCGCTTTTCCCACGGGGTAATTGGGGCGGCTGCCCCGTGTTGCGGCGACAGAACTCCTAAACTATAACGGCTACGTTATGCCCCCGGGGTGCGTATCATTTGAGTCGTTTCTTGTCAATATTTCACCAGTTAACGCCAGGACAAGACCCCAATAAGTAGGTCCAGCTACATCATTCATCGCGACACCATCCTGTTCCCTGACCCTGACGTATTTGACCCGCAACGACTGATCAGAGCAGTGGAGGAGGGTGTGCATCTCGAGAGATACATTGTGTCATTCTCGAAAGGAAGCAGGAGTTTCATTGGCATCAAGTATGCCTCGCAGGGGCTATCTGTCGTAGTCTCTGAGGTCGGGGACTAACCGGAAAACAGCCTTGTGTACGTGGAACTCTATGCAACAGTGGCGAGTTTAGCCCGCTGATTTAAGATCAAATTATACAAAATTACACCAGAAAATGCCAAAATCATCCGCGACATGCTGGTCGGCTATGCGAGACATGGTCCCTTGAGGGTTTACGCAAGATTGTCAGCGGCAGGCTGAGAGGCAGCCGGTCCTTTGAGAACACTGTGCTAAGAGGAATACCAGCTTGATTAAGTGGACGAGAGAATAAAATTCATTGTGCGCAGATATTTGAGCAAAGACTATTGCGCAACGAAATTGCCTTGATATAGGGACCTAGATATCTTGGTTGACGAAAGTTGGAGGCATGCTAGTTCATCAATAAAATTGGACAAAGCAGAAGAAGGGGGCAGGCATCGCATTGATCTATCCCACGCTACCTGTCTGTCTTGGGTCTGCCTATCTTGTCCGGGCTATGAGAGAAGGCGATCCCTATAGTATTTCACAATTGGTGGAGTAGGACCAAGATATTCGGCTCCTCCAAGACGGGCTCTTCGAGGACAACAGCGCCGAACTCCATATGGCCGCCGCTTTTATCAGTGCAAAGATGAAATTTTCTTGCAGTATCCAATACAGTCTGGTCCAAGGTAGCGCAATGGCTAAAGCAAGAGACACGTGCTGCTATTCTACGGCGAGGGAGAGGGACTTACTCATATCATATACATATACCACTTCCTTATACTGCTACCGGATAGTATCTATCCACAGCTATGAATAAGAAGCGCTTTTTAAGATATCAGATTGCTCGCCATAGATGGAAACAAATTCGTTGCGATCTCTAGGCTTATAATGAGATGAGTATACACACCAGTCTCGATCTCTTAAGCCAGTGCATGATACTCTTCCACCTCTTCTGGGACGCGTAACTTGCTTCTTTGACTACATTCTTTATGCCTACCACAGTCCAGTGTCGTGAGCGTTTTGAGCGAGATCTCTTGAGCCGTGTATATTTGGATTGATGTTGGGCCTGAGGATGCCACCAATTCCGGCGACACCACCTTCTTGTTGAAGCGTAGATGCCCGCAGCGTTCGATTGACTCTATGAAACCGTCTGAATAACCCTCATTGATCCTATTGGGGAATTCTCTCTCTCTCTCTCTCTCTCTCTCTCTCTCTCTCTCTCTCTCTCTCTCTCTCTCTCTCTCTCTCTCTCTCTCTCTCTCTCTCTCTCTCTCTCTCTCTCTCTCTCTCTCTCTTTTTTTTTTTTTTTTTTTTTTTTTTTTTTTAACTGGAATTTGACCGGACAGGCGGGCAGCGCTAGAATGGAACTCGTAAAGCACGTCCATTGCGACAAGAAGGTATTCTCTATGTCTAGTGGTATCATGTCGATAAGGACTCCCTCTTCTTTTACATCAGTCAAGCGTCATCAGTCAAGCGTCATAATGGCCCAGGTGATGCGTACGCTTCCGACGTCCAATTGCTCTTGGGATTGATGGTAGTCCTCACACCTTTTTGAGGCCACTGTTGCCGTCAATAGCTCGCCGGGAAGTCCCACAGGTCCATCTCGATTGACACAAGTGTAGGCAAAGTAGAGGATTGGAAAGCTGCACTTGTAACCCTATTCGTTGATATGCAATGTGTTGTGGTCCAAACATGCGTAGGCGACTCGGTTGAGCGCCAGCCATTGACCCAACCCACGTCCCATGACTCCTCACGACTTCCTCTAGTCAGATTGCCAACTTCTCGAGTGGAATGAAGACGTGCAGTGGCGGTGCAGCGGTATGTCTTTGCTGCGGGCCGCGCCTCTGCCTGCCTGCTGTTGAGTGTCCAGAGTAGGTAACTTATATTTCGCCGCAACTCGCATCGGTAGTGATAATAATTACTTAAGTGTTTGAGGCTTGTATCAACCCACTTACTACTACCCAAATCACCCACCCAATCACCTCATCGGCTGCTAATTACGCACCGGCTTGCCTTGCCTGCCATGCCTGCCAGCTGGCTGCCAGCTGCACGCCAACCGCCACCTAAGGTACCCAAGGACCAAGGTACCCCCACCTCGCCAAGCTCTGGATACGTATCCAAATCATCAGACTCTGATGGGTCTGGTGAGCCCCCACCGCCACCAGTCGACCTCGAGTACGGAGTACGAGACGGCAAATGGCCCTGAAGTACTCGAGTACCTGCTTAAGCTGACTCTGGAGCCTCTGAGCACTTGAGCCCTTGGAGAATCCAGATGGCCTAGCGCCAGTCCCAGCCAGTCCCAGCCAGTCCCGTCTGGTCCGTCTGAGCTCAAGTGCTCAAATATGGTGCCCAAGTGCTGCCACTAACCGTCTTCGGTCCTTCCAACTAATTAACCTCCACAATCCCTCCATCCTGCACCTCTCTCATTTACTCTTGGGAGGACCTTGCCAGAAAAAAAAAGGCAGCTTTTTAACCAGCATCAAAACGGGAGCGTCTGCGTTGGCGATTTTGGACCCGGCAATCTGGTGTCCTTTATTTTCCTTTTTTATTCCTTTGCGGGCGTTGAGCTTCGGTGCCTTTTCCTCATCGTCGTATTTTCCCGAGTTTCGTCTCTCAACAATTTCCTACGACCCTCGCGAGCTCCTCCAGTTTGGTGCTTGCCGTACTCGTGAGGACCTCCTTTTGATGTAACGACTGCATTTCTGCTGCCACGAACCGAATCGACCTTTCCGTCTACCCGTTGCGATACCTGGAGCTATTTCAGACGCACTGCATCATCCGTCCGAGCTTTATTACCTGTCGCCGTCTCCTGTCGTTTCTTCCTCTATTCGTTTCTCTTTGTTGCCTGTAGCTCCTAGCTTTTTGCTCTTGCTTGGGCATCGCCGAGGGACGCGACACCGACACCGTCCCTATTTGAAGTTGCCTACGCCCAAACCTAAAGTTGCAGGATACAGTGACTTTATTATACGTATTCCGATTTTTGAGCGCTTTGGCAATTTGGCACCCTGAACACAATGACGGATACGTCTGCAGCTCCTGCCTCAACCCAGTTGCCCCCCCAGGCACAGGCCGTGGCCGGCAATTCTGGCCAAAATGGTCAAGGAAACCCGACTCATTTGCCACCACCTCCGTTGCACATCCCGCAGAACACGAACCCCATCCCGACTGCTATTACATCTCCCCTCTCTGGTGGAGATAATGGCGGTATGATGTCACCTGGGGGTTCAGGCAACTTCCGACGGGCAGCCCCTGAGCCTAACAAGCGGGCGCTGTACGTTGGAGGCCTGGAGCAGCGTGTAACCGAGGACGTTCTTCGCCAAATCTTTGAGACTACGGGCCATGTTCAGAATGTCAAGATTATTCCCGACAAGAATGTACGCTATTTGCAGACGAGCACCATCCACACATCATCGCCCGGTCTGGGAACTTTTATGAGAACACACTGATCTAACCGCTGTGGTTTCTGTAGGCCAAAGGATTCAATTACGGTTTTGTCGAATACGACGACCCTGGTGCTGCAGAGCGCGCCATGTCAACCCTGAATGGGCGAAGAGTCCATCAATCGGTACTGTCAAGCTCTCTCAACGACGTCTTAGAGTTCGGGCTTCTTTTCCCAGCTGCTAACACCCTTGATGCCAGGAAATCCGAGTCAACTGGGCGTATCAGTCCAACACTTCGAACAAGGAGGATACTTCCAGTCACTTTCACATCTTTGTTGGCGATCTTTCCAACGAGGTCAACGATGATATTCTCCTCCAAGCATTCTCCGCCTTTGGCACTGTCTCTGAGGCTCGTGTCATGTGGGATATGAAGACTGGCCGGACCCGAGGATACGGTTTCGTCGCATTCCGGGACAGATCAGATGCTGAAAAGGCATTAAGCTCTATGGATGGCGAGTGGCTGGGCTCGCGAGCTATTCGATGCAACTGGGCCAACCAGAAGGGGCAACCTTCCATTGCACAGCAGCAGGCGATGCAGGCTATGGGCCTCACTCCCACGACTCCCTTTGGTCACCATCAGTTCCCGGCTCACGGCGTGGGGAGTTACGATGTGGTTTTGAACCAGACTCCTAACTGGCAAACTACTTGCTACGTGGGCAATCTGACACCCTATACCACTCCCAATGACGTGGTTCCCCTCTTCCAGAACTTTGGATTCGTTGTCGAATCGCGATTCCAAGCCGACCGCGGGTTCGCCTTTATCAAGATGGATACTCACGAGAATGCAGCCATGGCAATCTGCCAGATGAATGGGTACAACGTCAACGGCCGACCACTCAAATGCAGCGTAAGTTGCATGGTTTCCCCCCCCCCCCTTTGACACTTTCTCGTGGCATTCAATCACTAACGACGATACTACCGCAGTGGGGCAAGGACAAGACACCTAACGCTCAAGGAAACTTTGACCCTGCTCACCAGCAGCCATACAGTCCTCAGAGTGCCCAGACCCCAGGCTTTCCAGGAACACCCACGTACTACCCTCAGTATGGTGGTAAGTTCTTCATTTTTGCTTGTCATGTTTGTGTGTGTAACCACCAGCTAACCCTGTGTCGCAGCTCAATATGGCGGACAGCCAGGCAATTTTGCAGGGCCTCAAGGTGGCTCGCCTGCAGGATATGGTGGCTCTCCCATGGGATACGGTGGGCCTCAGAGTGCAGGAGGTTTTGGTCGAGGCCAACAGGGCCCCAATGGCCAATGGAACCAACCTGGACCTGGGCAAAACTTCAACAATGGATTTGGCGGTTATCAGTCTTGAACAAAAGGCAACAGTGTCGACATCAGGCCGGCTCGTGTTTGGATGACATGATTCTGGAACAAGAGTGCACTGCCCTGGACGGAATGGACATTTAAAAAAAAGCATGTTCGTTTTTTGTCTTTTTGAGATCTCTCCGTACCTGTCTCATACCCTTATCTCTTCTCAAGCGATATGCTTCATCATGTTCTGTTTCTTCATATTCTCTCTTTTCCACTTCTTCTACGATGATTACGTTCCTCTTTCTACTTCTTTCCCTGTCTCTCGTTTTTGAGTAGGTGGGATTGGCAACTATTCAGCTGTCTTTGTGTGTGATTTCCATGTATCATGTTTGTTGTTTTTTGCTGAAATTGTCGCAAAAAGTTACCCAATGTGCTATGCGCACCTGACGACTAACGAATAAACACCATGCCGCCCCCTTTTCTTTGCTGACGGGGCCAAAGAACATTTACCGCTTTCGAGATACCATTTTTGTTATTTCTTACGTTGAAGCCTAACAGTAACTGTCTAATCTTGCGCGTTTCTGGTTCAAGTTTTTTATTTTCCATTAGTTGGCTCAGTCTCCTCATGGGAGAAAAATAGTCTCGCATGGCATCTCCTTTTGCTCAACTTTTTTTGTTGGCACACAGGCTGGCTGGGAAGCCGCATGTCTTGGAGGGATGCTGCATTGGCTCTTGGTGGTCGACATTCATCGACGCAAGATTGACACTGTCACGCATACCATGAGTTTGCATTGTCCTTGGAAGAAAGTAGTGCCAGAGAATCCTGTAAAACAAAGCGGACGAATAAGCCATGGCTGGGGGGACAGGGGCGGAGTGATGCGGTAGCCAGTGCTGGATCTGGTTTCAATATTTTGGCATCCCTTCCTGATGGAGTCGATGGTCTATTCTGGCGCGTATGAGATGAATCACTTGGAAGGAGACACGACAGGCATAGTTAGTCGAAATGGTAAGAAAGACTTGAGATTGCAAGATTTTGGAATCTACTCGGGGTTAAGATGAGATGCATTGATAACAATTGCACCAACTTGTGTACAATATAAAAATGGGGACAGCATTCTAAAAGTCGACAAGCAAAGACAACATGTGTTATCCTGGTCCAACCATGCATGTTGTCCATGACAATAGAATTAGACATGTTGTTGGAGCAGTAGCTGCTTTCGCATCTACACCTACTGGGCAGTAGCGAAAATACCTGCACTCTCGTGGACAGACGGGTACTAGAACATAGCATGGAAGACTGTCGATTGTACGACGTTTCATGCATGCTCAGCCAACGGGAGTCTTTTTGCTACGTCACAACGAGGCGTTTCTTAGCGCCGGCATGGGGACAAGAGTCCATAACTACGCAACTCCGGATATGGCGATGACGAACTCTTGTCGAGCCACTGAACGAGCAATGCTCGCAAGTTGAGACTACGGAGGGTGATGGGAGCCCGTAGCGATGGTGTTGCGGATGAATGCGAGGCACCTTTTTTTTTTTTATATATTTTTCTGTGTTATGATTGTAATATGTTCGAATGTGCATACTAGTTCGCATTGGGGGTGGGGGGTGTCTAACGGGCGCGCTTTGGAATCTCCATGGGCGGAGAAGCCGGGCGCGTGCATCCTTTGTCGAGCACTTGAGGGCCAGAAGAAGCTTCAATGCTTGCTTGATGTGGCATGACGATGAGCGAGCCATGCTCTCCAAGTGCACAATGCGGGCGGCCCCCCCCTAGCAGCAGATGTTCGGCGCAAGTTGGGTGCATGATGAGGTCAACCGGTGGCTCTGGGTGCCCTGTTTGGCTGCTCTTTGAAGACGCGGAGTGGACATCTGGAGTAAAAAGACCAGTGTTGACCCAGACTTGACATTATTTGTAGAGGAGCACTGATCGATGCGGTTCGACGCCATTGTACGCCGAGTACCGTTGACACATAACGGTACCGAGCAGGTAGGCATGCATTAGCAACACGGCAACCACGGCATTGCTACTATGTACGGAGTAGCTGTAGAGGCTTGGCCATGTGCATGATTCGGGTCCATGTCAGCAAATCAGCAATGTCGACATTGTTACTCCCTACTCGGTGCTAAATTACCCCATGTCACCTTCATTTTTCTGCTGGTGGTTGAAGTTGGGGTCAATCCATTCTTGTCAAGGCCGGTTGACTTGCACAGAAAAGGCGTCCTGTTGCACAAGAGCCTTGTGGTTCAGGAAATAAATCCTGGCTTCTGTGACGAATTGCTCCTCCTGCTCCTACTTCCATCGCTTGTTTTCCCTTTCGTGGCCAACCCCCTGTCTCTTGCGACAATCAGGCTGGCGTGATTGTGCATGCAAGACAACAGCTCACGAAGCATTTTTGAAATCTTGGGCGCCTGCCCCACGGCCGTCGGTGGAGTGATCGAGCTGCCCAACCTCCAGAGTGAGTCCATGTCCGCAGGTTGACCAGTTGACGTCTCAGGTGGCCCCGGCCCAGTGCCATGTTGCAGCATAGCGCGCCAAACGCACCTGAGGAGCCAATCAATCCCCGCCGAGCCTACTGTGCTTGGGTCGAGTAAGTACATATGTATGTATGTAGTATTGACATTTTGACTCCATGTCCCGCGTCAAATCTCTCTCCACCCTCTCAATTGCCCGTGGTGCGCAGCCCAGCCGACTCGGCCAGTCAGCGGCAAGACCAGACTTCAATGTTGACTTCACACTATTGCACCAGACTTTACTAAAACAGTCCAGCATTGCATTCTTGAGCTCAACGGCGGCCGCAATCAATCCATCTGCTCCGTACTGATGCGGCAGCTTGAAACCCTCAATCAAATCCGCACACAGCAATTTGGTACGCACTCACTCACCCAACCTGGCTGCAGTGAGTCTGGTTGGTGGCTGCTTGAGCTCCGCCCGATTCGGGTGCCTCCTTGTGTCGACTGGTTCCGTCTTGTTTGAGGGAGGGAGAAGAAGAGCACTTGGAGCAGCGCTGGAGGGAAGCACTCTGGGCGGCAGAGCACCAGACTCGAGTCTCCCAGTACAGGCCGAAGTACGGTGCTTCCGCCCGGCCTACTTTGGCCCAAGTCCAAGCAACCAAGTTACATGCATGTACTCACTTACCCACGGGCAGGTACAACGTACGTACTGGCAGCAGCTGAAGACCAAGACGACAAATCGTCCGCCCCAGCGACCGACATTGAGCACCACCAGACACCCGTCCATTCTGTACCACATTCATCACCCGGCTGTCCCTCTTGGAGCTCGGGAGCTTTGCCAGCTCGCAGCGACGCCGCCCATTCCTGTTGCATCTTGCGCCCTTCTGTCGCCTCTCTGCACCTTGGCTCTCCATCGACGTCGGTCGCGTTCAACGGCGGCCCTGCGCGCACCTCACCGCCGTCCCTGCTGCTGCTGCTGCTGTCGTCGCTGCGCTCTCGCCCTCGTCGCTTCTGGTCGATTCCCGTCGTCGCCCTCGCCGCCGCCCTCGCTGTTGTCCTGCGTTCCCCCTCCATCTCCCCAACATGGATCCGTCGTGGCAGCAATATCCCGACTCGGCCGGTGCCTCGCGACGACACAACGGCGGCGGACAAATGCCTCGAGACTATGCCGGTCAACCTCCTCCTGCCGCCGCGCCCTACGGTCCTGACCATGGTCAATATCACCGCGCCGCTCTTCCTCAAGTCCACGTCCACTCCCACCCTCACGCCTATGGTCATGGCCATGCCATCAACCTCTCGGGACCTGGCAATCCCAATCCAGCCGCCGCCTCCCCAATGTCCATCGGTCCCTCCCCTCGCGACGGCAACGGAGACATTGCTATGCACGACGCCCACGACGCCCACGCCGGCATCAAATACCCCATGAGACCGCACCATCAGTCTCACGCTTCTACTGGTCGCTCCTCCAACCTTCAGATGCCCCACGAGCAACAGCCTTCTTCTGCTGCTCAACGATACTCGCCCATGGACACGCTGTCTCCGACCTCTCCCTACGCGCCCAAGTCGAGTCAATTTGCGAATCCACCCCCTCCAACGCAGTCCCCAAGCGGCCAGCCAGAGTATTCCCAGAGTCCATACTATGCTGCTGGGCGTCAGGCTGGTCAACAGCTGCCGCCAATCACGCCTTTCGCCTCGTCCCAAGAGGGCTACCCTTCCTCAGCCGTGGCCAATCTAGACGCAACCTACTCTAACGGGCCCAAGTCTCCCGCACGATCGAATCCTGCAGGGCAAAAGCCTGTCCCCGAGTTCCGCAAGGTTCGAGCTCTGACTGAACTACGACCCAAGAACAACCGGCAACCGGCCTTCCGACGAGCAAACCCCGAGGGAGGCTTTATCAGTGTACGTGCTTTGAGCCCATACAACTGTGAAGTGACAACTGACAATTGACTTGACTAATCAACGCAATTACATAGCCTCTTCAAGCCCTCACATCTCACTTACCGGCGACATACCGTATCTGCAATCCTGGCTTCAAATATGAGACTTCGCGAAATCCTCGTCGCGTCCTGACCAAACCAAGCAAGGGAGTCAAGAATGATGGCTACGACAACGAAGACAGTGATTATATTCTCTATGTCAATGATATTCTAGGATCCGAAGAAGCAGGTCACAAGTAAGCGAACTCTGCACCCCCCTTACGGCGGCATGGACGGCGGTTCGTTGCCGACATCAGCGACTCGGTGTATGTACCTACAGTTTTACTCATACCTCATTATAGGAATCGCTACCTCATCTTGGATGTTCTTGGCCAAGGAACCTTTGGCCAGGTCGTCAAGTGCCAAAACTTGAAGACGCAAGAGGTTGTTGCCGTCAAGGTCATCAAGAATCGCACTGCTTATTTTAACCAGAGCATGATGGAAGTTTCTGTTCTCGATTTGGTCAGTCTCTGTGTGCCGGTCTCGTAATTTTTTTTTTTGGCTCCCCTGTTATTAACAAGTCTTGTGTAGCTGAACACGAAACTCGACAAGAACGATGACCATCACCTGCTGCGATTGAAGGACACTTTTATTCACCGACAACATCTTTGTTTAGTATTTGAATTGCTGAGTGTCAACTTGTACGAGCTCATCAAACAAAACCAGTTCCGAGGACTCAGCACCACCCTTGTGCGAGTATTTGCGCAACAACTTCTTAATGGCCTTGCCTTGTTGAATAAAGCTCGCTTGATCCATTGCGATCTGAAGCCCGAAAACATCCTACTCAAAAACCTGGAAAGTCCTATTATCAAGATTATTGATTTCGGTTCCGCTTGTGACGAGCGGCAAACAGTCTACACCTATATCCAGTCCAGGTTTTACCGCTCACCCGAAGTCCTCCTCGGCCTGCCATACTCCTCAGCCATTGACATGTGGTCCTTGGGGTGTATCGTAGTAGAGCTTTTCCTGGGTCTGCCCCTCTTTCCCGGGTCATCAGAATACAACCAAGTCTCACGGATCGTTGAGATGCTCGGCAACCCCCCGAACTGGATGATCGAAATGGGTAAACAGGCGGGCGAATTCTTTGAGAAACGCCAGGACGAATTCGGCAGACGGACGTATCACTTGAAAAGTATGGAACAGTACGCACGCGAGCACAACACGAAGGAGCAACCCAGCAAAAAGTACTTTCAGCAAAGCACGCTGCCCGACATTATCAAATCTTATCCCATGCCGCGCAAAAACATGAAGCAGAATGAAATCGATCGAGGTTTGTAATGCTTTTGGCTTAACTATCGTGTTTTGGAACAAGTTCAACGCCACTGACACTTTTTTCCTCCCCTTTATCTAGAAATGAACAACCGAATAGCCTTTATCGACTTTGTCCGAGGATTATTGACTATCAACCCCCTCGAGAGATGGTCTCCTCAACAGGCCAAGTTGCATCCATTTATTACTCAACAAAAATTTACTGGTCCTTTCGTTCCTCCCATGAACCTCAAAGCGAGCTCCTTAAACCGATCTCCCGCGCCAGGAACGCAACAGCAACAACAGGCCGAGGCTTTGAGCAAGCAACGTGCTCAGGCGGCACAAGCTCAAGCTAATTCGGCTGCACATTCAGCCGCTCAGGGAGCGTATGCCAACATGGCTGCTACTGGCCAGTACCCTCAACAGTCAGGGCATGCTCAACCTCCCATGTACACCGCAAACCCTGTTTATTCGCCTGCTGGGAATCATGGCAATATGGCGCCGCCCTACGGACCCCAGGCACTTCAGTACGGCCCAATGGTCATGGGCCAGCATACCCAACCAATGCCTTCTGCCCAGTATGGCAATGTTGCTCAACCGAATATGTATCAGCAAGGAGGCATGCGGACTAGCAGGCAGAGAGCTTCAACCATGGAGCAGCAGCAGAGTGGTATCCCGGCTGCTATTCAGCGAGTAGCAAGCCATCTTGACCCGAGTCAGCCTATCCGCCTGCAGCCTAGTCCAGCTTATTACCCCCCTTCCGGCGAAGGCGTGGTTAGCATGGATAATACTCCTGGACGTGCTGGTCGACGGGGAAGCAGGGTTCAGCAAGGTGGGAGAGGAAATCGCGATTTCATCCGCAATCTCGAGGAACGCACCTTGGAAGAAGGATTCATGGGAAACCAGAACCCGTGGCATTGAAGGCCCCTCTTGACCTTTTGGCATCCAGCAATCGCACAGTAGGAATTTATTGGAAGGGTACGGCCGTGCTATCCGCACTGGGCCATTTGACCCGATACGAGCAGCTCTGGGCCATTGTGCGGAATACGTTTGCACAGAACTCATTTGCTATGGTACTCGCAGTGGCGTCTTGTCATGTTCCACTTCCACGGTTTTCACGACGATTCCTTCACGTTGATATGGAAAAACCAACAACGATAGGATACCACGGGCGCAACAACTCCGGGGGAGAATGTTTGGGATGAATGCTTTATCCATAATTTGCAGACCCCAAGATTTAGCAATGTCAGGACACGGCAGGTCAACATCTGAAACGGTGTTGCTTGGCACAAATTGGCCCAGCAGACAAACTACATCCCGAGCCAATTTGTGCCTGACGGACAACTATTTTTCTCCGTTGCTTGGGCGTCGTCGCGTTCTTCATGCTCTCGGAACCTGGGCTGCAGCTGGACATACCCTCCCTACCCCCCATTTTTTTTCATTTTCTGTTCACTTTTTGGGTTGTTTGACGCGGGAAAGAGCTTAGGCCAGTGTGATGTTGCTCACACGGCATAAGATTGAAATAGACGCAGAGGCATATGGACGGCGGTTCAGGATGGATGGGTTACTTGTTTTTTTTATTTGTTCTGCACGCAGTAGCATTGAGGGGGGTGATGAAGCCAGAGAAGAAGAAACAAGGAATTCTTTGTAGATACGACTATTGTTGTGTTTCCCACTATCATGTCGTGTGTCTCGTACGATTCCACCTCTTCCCCCCCCTCCTACTCCGGCTTTACTCCCCCCCTGTGTACAAAGATGAGAGGACTGGGTTCGAAACAAGAAGTGGACGTTTGCATAATAAAAGAATGCTCCAGGGGTTGGTTCTGGCAATTAGGTTAGTTTTTTGCCAACTATCTCACCCCATCTTTTTTTTCTTTTTGTGTTTTTAGTATCTACATCAATGGGGGTGGGAATCGTGTTCTTGTATGATGGGATGACGCGGGTTTGCGGAACAAGAGAGACGATGGAGCCTTGTGTGAGAGGGCCAAGAAGAATACTTCAACAAAGAATGCTTTTTAGCCATGTTGAACGAGTGCAATGTGTTGTTTTGAGTCCCGTGCCCTGCCGTAAAGATGATACCAAAGTACTGTACAATGTGATGACCTTTTGTTGATACTCGGGGGCTGCTGCAGCCGGCAGATATTGTATCGAGAATTGTCTCCAAACGCCCATACTCCTGACTTTGCAACCCCGGACGCCGTAATGATTATACATGATGAAACAGAAATGATCTAGCTGGAGGCCATGAGGGACCGCTCTACCGCCCTCTGCCTCTTGGGAGCCCCCTGCCCTTCTTGTTACCGGTCACCATTCTGTCGCTGTAAAGTCGGTTGTTCCCCGCCCAATTGGTGCTGCCATTTGTGTCCATGGGATCGGGGAAGCCCATGGATCCATCTACCACCTGATCTCGTGTTGACGCCTTTGACGATTTCGGTCCGCTGGGTGCGTTGGCGGGTGGTCCGTTGGTTGTGGCAGAGGCCTGATGACCGCCGACCTTGGGGTAGATTTGAATGACTCTTCCGTCGGCCTGGGGCAGTCACTTGTTAGCTTAGACTGGCAGGGACGGATGTGCTGAGCGACCGGGGGTACACGTAGCGCAAAAGGAACGGAAACCACATACTGTTTTATTGTTGAACGTCTCAATGACCCTCTCGCCGCCTTCTCGGGAAACAAACACCATCTCGGCAATTAGAAAAGGCTTCGTCTTGACAATCTTACAGCTGACCATTTCGCCGCCCACAGGCGTCATGGCACTCTCGATATCAGCTGCAGTGGTCCCGGGAGCAAAATTCTGGCCCAGGAGAGCATACGGACCGGCGAGACCGCGGATGGTGAGGCCCATGCCGGTCGTGGCTTGGGTTGAGGGAGTGACGACGTTGACTTGGTCGGTGTCCATCTTGTCAACAGCAGCGGCAAGCTTGGCCTTGCGACTGGCGGCTCTCTTGCTGGCGGTATTGCCGTTCTTGGAGCCGGGGACAGTGATGCGGGAGCTCAGGGAGCCCGCTTTGGCTGGTACGCGGTTGACAGAGTCGTGGAGGTCGTGTGTCCATTCGCCGTTGACGTTGCCAGCAGGCAAACTGACTCTGCGGGCATTGGAAGCAGCAGCAGCAGCAGCAGCAGGGCTGCGTTGCTACACCGTGAAAGAAACGTGCATTAGCAAGGGTTGGATTCGAATTTTGGCGGAAATGGTGACATCCATGGCGGGTGTTGAAAGAATGACCTACCTTCTTCACTCCGACGCGGCTCGCAAGGGAACCGCCGGGCGTGGGCTTGAGTTTTGACGGCGCACTTTGACGGCGACCGCGATTGAAGATTCTATCGGCAAGAGCTGAGTTCTTCTTCCGTTCCCGCGCTGTGTGGCCGCACGTTAGCAAGAAGGGTGAATCAAAGGGCTGCGGCTGATGCAGGCTGGAATACCATCGGATATGAGCTTTTGAAAATCTGACGCGGTGGACGCCATTGTGACCAATGCGCAGTATATGCCACAGCAGGGCCAAGTCTGGGAAATCTATGATGGTGGAGGGAAAGGCCAGGATATATGGCGGCAATGGCTAGAAATGCTGGACGAGGGTGAGGAAGAATGACGAGGCTGAGTTGATGGACGACGGCGGGTGATGTTTCCAGGGCTCTGCGCTGGGAGGGTGAGCAGAGACACGCGACAGCCAATCAATGTGGCGACGGACAGTCTCAAGGACGGAACGCACCTGGCATGTACCTACGGAGTACCTAGTGCTCGTGGGCCAGCCACTTACAGCAGGGGCAGCAATCCTGGCGCCACAATTGTTGGTCGTTGATAAGATCTTGGACCCTGACATTTTTTCCTTCCTGCCAGTCGATGAATGTCCCCTGAGCAGCTATTGTTCCATACATTGTTTTCGGCATCAACCACCTCGTGCAGGGACAAGCTGTTCTCAACCAGACGATCTGCCTCTGGTCGAGCTTGTCCACAATGGTAGGAAGCTTTCTTTCCTGTCGGGCATGTCTCCTCAGGACAATTCAACTGGCTGCGACAAGAGGTCCCATGGAAGCCTCTACTCTCAGAGCAGCTGTGCATCCAAGCCAACGAAGCAGAAGCTATGCGACGGAATCGCCGCCTGCAGCCCCCGCACCTGTCGACGCACCGAGGACTCTACAAGTGCCGGATGGAGAGAAGTCAATTGCAGTTGCAGAAGAGAGGCAGCGCGAGAAGCTGCAGCGTGCCGTCAACAAGCACCTGAATCACATGGACGACCCGTGGAAGATCGCACAGCATGTCGACCAGACGCTCGCAAAGGACCGGTTTGACGAAGCGCTGCTCTTGACGCAAAGGGCGAGTAAGGATCGTCAGGTCGTCGTTGCCTGGAACCATCTCATCGATTATCAGCTCGACCGTCAGCATCTAAAAAAAGCAATCAAGCTATTCAATGAAGTTCGTGTGCTCTGTCCGCCCCCTGATATACACCTCTAGTACCCTAGTATAACTAACTGACGCGAGTCTTGTAAATAGATGAAGAAACGCGGCCAGTTGCCCAATGTTCAGACATTCACTGTCATCTTCCGAGGCTGCGCCAGGTCACAGCACCCCAAAGCCGCAGTCGCCGAAGCTGTAAAGCACTACAATATCCTCATGGCCGACAAGCGTATCCAGCCAAACTCGATACACCTCAATGCTGTACTGAATGTGTGCGCCAGAGCAGGTGATCTCGATTCCATGTTTCTAATCGCCGACACCGTCAACGACTCCACACGAGCACCAACAGCCTACACATACACCACCATCTTGAACGCCCTGCGCCACAGTGCCCGGAGGGATATCAAGGAGCTGACTCACGAGCAACAGTCCACGAACTTGCAAAAAGTCGTGGACCGAGCAAACGGCCTCTGGGTGGAGGTCATGGACAAGTGGAAGAAGGGCCGACTAGTCATCGACGAAGAGCTCGTCTGCTCCATGGGTCGCGTGTTGTTGCTTGCGCCAAAGCGCGAGGACAAGCGGCTCGTCCTGGACCTCTTGCAGCAGACCATGAACATCCCCAACCTCACCAAGGCCCTTGGTTCAGACCCCTCCCGAGACGCTGACATGCAAAATGTCGCCATCGACGGCCCCTCCAAGGCCGCCACTTCATCAAAGGCCGTCTACGCCATCCCCGGCCGCAACACCCTCGCCCTGCTCCTGACCACCCTCGCGTCCTCAAAGCTCACAACCGTGGGCATCAAATACTGGAACCTCATGATCCGTCACTACGGCATCGTCCCCGACAACGACAACTGGCTCCGCATGTTTGGCATGCTCAAGGTAGCCAAGGCCAGTGCCCACGCGGCATCCATCCTCGAAATCCTCCCCAGCGAATTCGTCGACCCAAAGCCGTACCGCATCGCAATTGAGACCTGTGTCCGCGACAACATCAACCAAAACGCCATTGAGAACTCCACCGCCATCCTCAACTCCATGATGTCCCGTCTCGACGTCCCAGACATCCACACCCTTCGCCTCTACCTGCGAGTCGCGCTCGTCAGTCACTATCATTTCCGAACCCGCGCCCAAAATGGCGACCAAGCAGGCGCCAAGCGGGAATACGGCGTCCAGATTACCACGGCTCTCGCTAATCTCTGGGAACCTTATAAGAAGGTTCACTATCACTATTTCAAGGCTACTCCTACGCCAGCCACCCAGGAGGGCAAGGGCATTTTGTACAATGACAAGCGAGAAGTAATCGCTCTTGCGCGGCTCATGTTCTCCGCCTTTAATAAGGTAATCAACGAAAGTATGCTCCCTGAGAAGGACTTGCGTGAGCTGCGTGCTGTTGGGGCCAAGATCAACCGGGAAATCCAGGCCTTCTACTCCGATCGCGAGAAAACAGAGCCAAAACTGCGACGTTCGTCAAGTGTTGAGCATGAAGCCCCAGCTGAGGTCGAGGATGCTACTCATAGACAAGGTGGAGGGGACTTTGTTTGGGACACAACAAAATCGGGAGATCCTGTCTCGTTACGAAAAGAGCGCCGTTGAGGCCCGGGAAGAAAAGTTGGCCGCGACTCTGGGGAGGAAATATCTCAGCCATAGCATTGTATCATTACGCTCAGCAAAGCTTGTACACTACCACTTGGGCGGCGTTTACGCAAACGTCATCTCTACACTTGATGACAGGGGGGTTGGAGATGACCGTGCTTCAGGTTGATTTGAAAGCTACATGTACTAAAATACTACTCTTCATCATTATTGGTCTTCCAAAATTTCTGCCTGCCGTAAGACAGGGTTGGCGTATGTCTAATGATCTTTTGTGCCTATGCTGCGCCACAGATACCATTGAGTATCCTTCCTTAACAATGATGTTATCGTTTCACCATCATTCGTCCCTTTTTTCATATCCAGCGTCCTCAGAGGGGAGAAAGTTACAATCCCGTACCCCGGTTTTAGGGATAACCAGCTGTAAGCAGTCAGTTGGTTCTTCAGTATTGGACATTAGCCCTGAGTCCCCTTCTGAGTTGTTTGAAAAACGGCTCCGATATGATTCAAATTGTTTTCCTCGTGATACTTTCCTCAATGCTGGATGTGGATTGGGAGTCTCCAAAGGAGAGTTCGTGGGAAATTTGCCAGGCAGTGACCCCATGCGCCGAAACTTGCTGACTAGCTCAGAGACCGAAGGGATGTTCTCCTCGTGAGACATGGAAACTTGACTGCTCCCAGAAGCCTGACGAGGGTTCAAAATAATTTCGGAAAAACTCTCTGAGTTATCAGAGGTACTCTTGGAACGAAGACGCCTGACCTCATTGCTGGAAATCTCCGATATTAGACTCTGATGACCAAAACTCCCAAAGTTGGACCCAGAGAGGCTGCGTAATGGTTGATCACTGTTGGAGCGGCCTCGACGATGTTGGCATACTTGTTCGGCAGGGGGAGACGCCACATCGTCTTTGTTGGTTGCAATTGTCATCGTCACTGAGGGTACCAGGCTGTCTTTGGAGGGGGTTGTGCCTGGGTCGAGTTGCTTAGCATTTGAATCTGTCTCGAGCTCAATATTATCGCTTGCGTCGTGTTCGCAAAGGACGGTCCCTATCGAGTTTTTAGATGATGCCGAATCTACCGTATCTTTTACAAGGCAGTCTCTTGTTTCACTGGAGACAGTTGGCTCAGCCGTTTGTTGCGGTGTCATGAATTCCCCAAAATCGAAGCTTGGGCCCAAGACTCCATCTAGCAAAAGAGTGGGCAAATGGCAACCTCCTTCATCGACGCCTTTAATAGCCTTTGTGCCTATTCGGGAAGACTCTGTTGACGCTCTTGGTGATAGTTGCTGCAGTTCTCCTGCTGTGGATTGTGCAGTCTTGACAGCATCCACAAACGTAGGTAGCTGGTACCGAGGACGGAAAGAACCTCTGGCATAAAATGGCAATGAAGTAGCGTTCGTCAGTCTTTGGGCTCCCGTATCTGTCATACTCTTCATCAAGTGTGGGTTGGATGGCGTTTCGTACTTGATGTTGATGTCAGCAACTGCTTTTTCCAGACATGCACGAAACGTAGAGGGCTCTGCCGACGAGTCATGAGAAGAATAATCAGATAGGACATCTAGACGAGGAGGAGGAGAGACTTGTCTCGGCTCCAATTTGGATGTGACGAGCTCCTTGGTAATTGGCGGGGCTGATTCCAAGGCTTCTGTCACCTCTGTTTCACGGCTGTCAGGTTCGTGTTTGTCTAGCTTATCGCGAGAGTATTTAGCTTTGACTGTCTTGAAGACATTGCTCAGGCTTCTCCGGTGGTTCACATTAACAGGGCGACCTGCACGGCGACACCGTTAGTATTGAGAACAACAGGACAGCGTGAGTGTGTAATGGGGGTAGGTAGGTAGTATGAGCGTACCCCGTTTCTCATTGAACTCAGCATCATTTTGATTCTTCGAGCCGCCGTGATTTGAACGTGACGCAAGACTTTCCTTGCGCGGTTGTGCCTTGGGACGAAAAGTTGAAAACCACCGGCGGGGTGTAGCTTTTGATGGTTTGTGCTGGGACTCCTGACCCTCATGGCCCTCACTTGACTGCAGTTGGGATCGATTGTTCCACAGCTTCTAGCTGACAACTCGATTCACATTGGAAGCTTTGTCCTGAGGAGCTTCTGTTTTGGAAGGCTGTTTGGAGAACAACATGTTGGGATAGTAGTCTGCGAAAGCTGAAGCCAATATTTATGAACCGGTACAGCAAGGAATCAGAGAGCAGGTCAATCCAACTCGAGTAGAAGGTGGTTGTTGCAAGATGTGTGATAAAGCCTGGAGGTAGAGTGAAGAGAGTTGTCTACGGAGATGGAGATACGGTAGAGCCTGCAAATACATTAGAGATGTAAATGCACAGCAACAAGACATGGATGCTACAGAAACCAAACAAGAGCCCGAAAACAGTCGACCGCATGTCTTTACGAGGCCAGCCTTTGCGGGGACGAGGGAAGGAGATGTTGTCGACATGTTTCCGCAATAAAAATAAGAATGCGCGGGAGTAATGTGAGGCAAGAGACAACGGGAGCAATCTGCAATAACTCTACAGTTGAAAATGCTTGGAATATATGGTCAAAGAATGACGCATAGGGGTAGTTCTTGTATGAAGGCAGACATGAAAAAGACGAGAGAGATGGAGATGCGGACGCAGCGAAAAGGCCACACTTCGCGAAGTCACCAATCTTTATCCGAGTGAAGAGAACGGATGAAGTACCTAGGCACTTGACAAGTAATACCGGTGATGCCTGGTGTGAGGATGGTGAAGTGATTCCCACCTCGCCTTCCTGCCTCGCACGGGAGGATTGCAATTGCACCTGCCTCAGCTGGGCCAAGTGGGCAGTTGGTTGGCAGGTTGGCAGCCAAGTCGGCTAGTTGCATACCCCAGTCTTGGAAATGCCAAGCAGTTACTCCGTAAATGCACACAGTCGAGTGTCCGACCCACTATTACCACTTTAACAAACCCAGGGGCCGGAGTACGGAGCACTTTCAATCGAGACGCGTCTCGCGGTCGCGACACGGTACGGGACGCGACTCTAGACTGGTAGAACATCAGCAATCAAGTACCTCTAAGTGGCAGACCTCGTCCCTGCTAACAGTCCATGCTTGACTAGGGACTTTTCACCACCACGACCATCCACTACCTTGCATCGTTCTACCGTCTTGTTGTCACATAACCATCAGATGTGCAAGCTTGGCTCCTGTTTTGAATGATAGTCGACATTACTTCACAGCCAGCTCGCCATGCCCAAGGTTAATTACCGGGCAAAGTTCGCTGAGCTTCAAGCCCTTCGCCAGTCAGGCAAGAAGGCTTTCGACAGCTACAGCGTCGAAGACGCAGCAGACCTCTATGACGAAGTTGACGAGGATGGCTACAAGAAGATCGTTCGAGACCGCCTTAACGAAGATGACTTCGTGGTCGACGACAATGGGGAAGGCTACGCCGATGACGGCCGTGAGGATTGGGATCGTGTCCGCCGCTACGACTCAGACAGCGATGCCGACGAGTTGCCTGTTCGTGGCAGACCCAACAAAGCAGGTTTGTTTTCTTGTTCCGTCCCATTGCGTTTTGACTTGCCCATACACTCCGCTGACTCGCTGCTCCCCAGCCCAGAAGAAGAAGGACGACAGCCAGGCCAAGCGCGATGCGAATGACCGCAACATTAGCGAATACTTTACCAAGGGCGCCGGGAAAGCTCAGCCCAAATCTAAAGTGAGCCCGTTGCACGCTCTAGGCATACTCGGGTGCAAATCTTTGACGGACTAACTGTGAAAATGGCAGGTCTCCAAGACCAAGGACGACGACAACTTTTTAGCCGACCTTATCAAGGAGGTGGACACTAATATTCCCTCACCTTCTCCTCGGTCAGCGAAGATTGAGAGGTCTGGTGGCCGCCGTAAATCCAGAGCCTTATCACCGGTTGTCGAACCCATTCAAAAGAGACAAAAGCGAACTGATACGCGTCTACTGTCACCGCCTGTCGCCAATATCAATTCAGACGACGGATTCGTCCCTGATGCAGCAGATGACGGTGTTCTGGGGACTCAAGACGGTCCCATGAGCGACCCGGCTCCGTCGTCGCCTGCAGCCAAGAAAGCAGAGAGACGGGCCCAGATAAAACCCGAGTCCCAGGACGACGAAGATTGTGATATGATGGAAGTGGCCCATGCAGGAGCCGTTCATTCTGCGAGTGTAAACATCGCTGGATCTCGCCAAGTCAAGAAGCTCTTGAAACAAGATCCGTACCCCTCTCCAGCCAGTTCTTCACCTTTGAAGCAGGTTCCGGGTGACGCCGTCGATTCCAGTTCTTGGAATAACTTGACCAACAAGCTCAACGTAGTCAACAGCTCTACAGAGACCCGAAGCATTGGTAAAATCGATCACGAAGATGCCATTGAAGCAGACGGTAGCCTCAACTTTTTCTGGACGGACTACACTGAAATTAATGGCAGCCTTTGTCTTTTCGGCAAGGTTCTGAACAAAAAGACCCAATCCTACGTCAGTTGCTTCGTCCAAATCGACAACATCCTCAGGAAATTGTACTTCTTACCTCGGCAACAACGTGTTCGAGATGGCGAGGGCACTGACGAGACTGTTGGAATGGCGGACGTTTATGAAGAAGTTGACGAGATCATGACAAAGATGAAGGTGAATATGTACAAGATCAAAGCATGCACCCGTAAATACGCCTTCGAACTTCCAGATGTCCCAAAAGAGGCCCAATACATGAAGCTATTCTACCCGTATACTAGTAAGTAATGACTTGAACCGCGAGCGGAACTCAGGTTCAATGGAGAGATTGCGAGCTAACGCACTATTCCCAGAACCACAAATTGATGTTGCCGCAGGCGAGACATACTCGCATGTATTTGGTGCCAACACAGCCCTATTCGAGCAATTTGTTCTTTGGAAGAACATCATGGGCCCTTGTTGGCTAAAGATTCAGGATGCTGATTTCGGTGCCATCAAAAATGCCTCACATTGCAAACTGGAAGTATTGGCTGAACATCCAAACATGGTGTCACCCATCAGCGAGTCCGATAATCTCGACGCGCCACCACTGACCCTCATGAGTGTTGCCATCAGAACCGCATTTAATGCAAAAGAGAACAGGCAAGAGATTCTTGCAATCAGCGCAAGAGTATACGACAAGGTCTCACTGAGTGATACGACGCCAGCAGAAAAGCTCCCTTGCAGAACATTTACGGTTATTCGCCCCCACGGGCCAAGCTTCCCTCTCGGCTTTGATCAGTTAGTCCAAAAGCGGAACAGGGGCCTCCTCGTTTTAAAGAAGCAGGAAGTGGACATCTTGAGCTTTTTTTTGGCTCAAGTTGACGTGGCTGATCCAGATGTCATTCTTGGGCATCAGTTTGAAGGGGTGGACTACAGTGTGCTTCTGAGCCGCCTCCACGAGAAGAAAATTCACCAGTGGTCCCGACTTGGCCGCCTCCGACGACGTGAGTGGCCTGCGTCTATCGGTAAAGTGGGAGGTAATGTCTTTGCCGAACGTCAAGTCATTGCTGGTCGACTACTGTGCGATCTTGCCAACGACGCCGGAAAGTCAGCCATGTACAAGTGCCAAAACTGGAGTTTAACTGAAATGTGTAGCCTGTACCTTTCCGGAGATAATCGCCGGAGGGACATCGACAATGAGGCAGCACTCAACAGCTGGGCCAAAGAAAAACAAGGCCTCATGGATTATATCACGCACATGGAAGCTGATACGCACTTTATCGCTGCCTTGGCGTTAAGTGTCCAGCTACTTCCTCTGACAAAAGTCTTGACCAATCTTGCTGGTAATTCCTGGGCTCGAACACTGACTGGTACGCGAGCTGAGCGCAATGAGTACATTTTACTTCATGAGTTCCACCGCAACAAATACATTTGCCCGGACAAGCAGTCGTTCCGCGGCCGCCAAAAGCGGGAAGATGAGAACCAAGAAGAGGCTGTCGGCGAGGGGAAAAAGAAGGATAAATACAAGGGTGGTCTGGTCTTTGAGCCCGAAAGGGGTTTATATGACAAGTTTGTTCTTGTAATGGACTTCAATTCTCTATATCCCTCAATTATCCAAGAATTCAACATTTGCTTCACAACTGTTGATCGAACAGCTTTGGTAAGGGCATATATATTCTCAAGAACTTATTTACCTGAACATCGCGACTAATCAAGGCGAAATAGGCTGATGATGAAGATGCGGTCCCAGAAGTACCTACAGATCAAGATCAAGGTATACTACCGAGACTTATTGCCACTCTTGTTGGGCGTCGTCGCCAAGTCAAGGCACTTATGAAAGACAAGAATGCAACCCTTGAACAACTCGCCACCTGGGATATCAAGCAGCTTGCTCTGAAGCTCACGGCCAACTCGATGTACGGATGCTTGGGGTATACCAAGTCCCGTTTCTACGCCCGGCCACTGGCTGTTCTGACGACGTACAAAGGCCGTGAGATTCTTCGAAGCACAAAAGAGCTTGCCGAAAGCAAGTCTTTGCAGGTCATTTATGGCGACACTGACTCTGTCATGATAAACGCGAATGTGGACAGTGTTGCTGACGCTTTCAAAGTTGGCAACGAGTTCAAGAAAGCCGTCAATGATCAATACAAGTTGCTTGAGATCGATATCGACAACGTTTTCCGACGTATCTTGCTTCAGGCAAAGAAGAAGTACGCTGCTATCAATCTCATTGAGAAGGATGGTAAATTTGTCGAGAAGATGGAAGTAAAGGGTCTGGATATGAAACGCCGAGAATACTGCGCTCTATCCAAGGAAATTTCAAAACATCTTCTTGACGAAATTCTTTCAGGCGATGAGGCGGAAGTTGTCATCACGCGCATTCATGAGTATCTTCGTGATATAGCTGGCAAGATGAGGGCGCAGAGCATCCCTGTTGCCAAGTATATTATTTACACACAACTTGGCAAAGGCCCTACAGAATATCCCAATGCGGATTCTATGCCACAAGTCCAGGTTGCTCTTCGTGACATTGCAAGAGGCAAAACGATTCGCAAAGGTGATGTTGTGTCGTACATCATTACAGGCGATGGGACGAGTTCTGAACCAGCCCCCAAGCGTGCTTATGCACCAGCAGATCTCAAGTCAGACTCAACTCTTGTCCCCGATGTTGAATGGTATCTTGGAAAACAAATATTCCCTCCCGTGGAACGACTATGCGCCAACATTGTTGGCACTTCTACATCACAACTGGCGGAGCAACTTGGTTTGGATATCCGTCGTTATAGCTCGAACCAAACCCAGCAGAACAGCTCCAACGATGATCTCGAGATCCATCCTCTCGAGTCCCAAATCCCCGATGAGGTACGGTTCGGCGACTGCGCAAGGTTGTGCCTTCGATGTCGCAAGTGCAAGGCCAGCACCAGGTTTGAAGGTCTGGTCATCTCTCCTGATGGAGTATCAGCATCAGGCGTGCTCTGTGGTGGTTGTGGAGCAGTGATCCCGACTCTGTCCGTCATTGCCCAAGTCGAACATGCCGTTCGCAGTCAAACGTCTCGCTACTACGAGGGTTGGCTTGTCTGCGACGACTCTCAGTGTGGTAACCGCACAAGGCAAATGAGCGTCTATGGTACTCGTTGTCTGGGACCGAAAGGCCTTGCGCGCGATTGCCTAGGACGTATGCGCTACGAGTACACAGAAAAGGCTATTTACAACCAACTCGTATATTTTTCCAGCCTCTGGGACGTAGACAAGGCTCGCAGCAAGGCACTCGACACAAACAACTCTACTCTTTCACGCCAGGAAAGGGACACAATCTTGGCTCTTGCGGAACATAACCGCGTCAGATTTGGCACAGTCAAGGGCGTCGTTGACAAGTATCTCGATAAGTGCGGCCGACAATGGGTAGCCATGGACACGCTCTTCGCCAAACTCGGATTCAAGAAGCTGCTTGCTGCAGTGTAAGAGTTTAGAAACGACAAAAAGGCATACGGTGGATAGCTATGAGTGTGAGTATAATTGCATTTGGATACATCGTGAAGGCGTTGTTGGGTGAATGACTTGATATATGGTTTTGAGTCTTTTGACGACGCGTTGTTGATATAGTATCCTAACAGAACTTGTATATAGCGGACCGCGAGCAGGCTTTTTCTTAATGGGCGTTAGGCGTTGGTTTAGATGAAATGAGCTGTAGCAACAGCAACAGGAAATGATTCCAGCCAGGGTTGTTCATTATATTATGTAGCTCGACTCTGAAACAATACATCACCATATCTTTGGTGTTCGAGGTTCAACTGCGTTCGTTGTTAAAATTGGCAGTCTTCCCCGCATACCTAGTAGTTGAACGAGTTATTGCTTCATAACGATACGTAGCGATACTAATCTACATATAAATGAGGGCACACGAGCGATTCAGAAACACAAAGCATTTAGGAGAAACAAACAGATCATGAACAAATATGAATTTCCGTCAACTGATGAAAATCAGCCCCAAGTGCTCCATAAATTAGATATACAGTTAAAAAAAAGGCGCAACCACTAATGCCCAACAAAAAAGCATCCGTTGATTGTTTCTTCGATCCTCGGCAAGCAAATTACAGAAGTGTAAGCAAAGCGACAGGAAGACACCGGTGGCGACTGGTAAAAACTTCATGCAGCTGAGTCTTTGCTCGGTAACAGCTGGCGGAAAGCAAGGAATGCTCCAGCTTCCCCGAACAACACGGCATGACCCCTTGCGAATTTCATGGTTTGGCCTTCCTTGCGCGCCCCCCCCCCCCTCTTGGAAGCGAAATCTCCAAAGTCCGCCCATGGACTCAACTGTGCTGGCATGGCAGCAAGGTTGAAAAACCTGCCCGGGCATATATCATCTCATAAAAAGACAAACGAACAAATCTCAACCACCTTTTTGGCATTCATCTTCTCCGACCTCGTCATCGCCTTCATTTCCACATGCTTTCCTATCAGCAGTCTCGATTCTGCTTTCATCCAATCGAGCGTGAGGTAGCTAGACAGCATCAACAAAGGCCCTCATATACCATGCTTGGTGTTCGCGTCCCTCGACAAGAATTAAAATATGTCAGAACAAAACCGAGGGACAAGCAAAGGGCAAAGCTGAAAAGAAGACAATCCGGCACCGTGATGAAAAAATGCGAGAAATGCTTTTTTGGCGCAAAACTGCTCTGCCTCTTCTGTTACCGCCGCCCACAGTCCCCTTTCTGCGTCTGGCGAGAGACTTCCCCGTTCTGATCTCAAATACTAGTCTATGGGTGAGGTATCGTGGGTCCAAAAAAAAATATGCGGCGCGCAACTTTTGATTCTTCTCAAACACGTAAGAACGCAAAATGGAATTAAAATGTAGAAGCCCTGTAAATGCAAGAAGAAACAGAACCCGCCAAGTCTATCACCCGAAATGCAAGGACACCGAGAAAAAAATTACGACACTGATTAAGTTCTTCTTTTCTTACTCGCTCTCCTTCTTATCGCTGTCGGGAACAGCCTTGGCCAGAAGAGGAGAGGGTCCTGCGGATGGAGGTGAGGCGGGGTGTTCGGCATCTACCATATTTGCGAGTAGGCTAGTGTCAGGTTAGCATATTGATACCACAGTGCAAGAGATGGGCAGGGTCCTCTTCTCACCTGAATGCGTTCGTGTTGGAGGCGCTGTCGCGAGTGGGAGGAGTTCCAGTTCGAGACGATGCTCCAGAGTCTTCACCAGGACGACCCAGGGAGCCTCCCGGTCCGAGACGTCGGCCACTGTTACTACGGGAAGTAAACATAGAGGATGGGCCAAGGGTAACGTTCTGGCTCGCGGTCCTGCTAGCAGAGCCCTTGAGACGTCGGAGGTCGTCCATGCCAACCTGGTTGCTGGTTTGCTGCACATAGCTGCCAGAAAAGTTGCGAGCATCACCACGGCCTATGGCAGGACGACCAGGACCGCCACGAGAGTTGGTTCGAGCGGACTCTTGGGCCTTGGCAGCCTGGGCTTCGGCTTCAGCACGCACTTCATCGAGAGTCTTGGGGCCCTTGTTGGCTTCCTTGGAGACCCAGTTGGCCCTACGCAAATCAAGAACATCCATAAGCATAAACTTCATTCTGCTCTGAAGCTCGGGAAGCTCAACCATGTTCTGGATGCGTTGGAAGTAAGCGTCCATCATGGGACGGCCCTTTTCGGTGGCATCCAAATTGGCACCAATGGTGCGCAAGAGCTTGCTGAGGGACTCAATTTCGGCCTCGTCAGGGACACCCTTGTAGTCGACGAGCTTGTGGACACATTCGTGCATGATACGCTCAGTCAACATGCCGAGCTTGTACAGCTCACCGATGAACTGGACAAGACCTAGACCACGTCGCTTGGCGGCGGCAGCTTCGTAGTATTCATCAGAAAGCATAGCTGCGTCACCAAGCGTCTTCTTGGAGCTGTCCTCGGCACCCTCTTCCTCCTTAGGTTGAGGCAAGTTGGAGCTCCAGCCACGCTCAAACTCTTCCTGGCATCGGTTGAGAAGGTACTTCCTGAACAAGTTGCCACCGCTAACAACGTTGCCATTTTTATCCTTGATGCGTTCGTCGCGAACGTCTGCGCTCATGTTCTCAAGCATACGCTTGCAGAACTTGGCGTACATGGAAGCCCAGTGCGCTTCATCAGTGGCCTTTTCAAAGGTAAGCTGAATGACTTGACGGAGCGTGCGGCCATCAGACTCATCCTTGGATTGCCCGGCAATCGCGAGGATCTGGTCGGCGATTCTGTCAAACTTCTCGGGGGTCATCTTGTTGAGGGCGGCCTTGACCTTCCTCTGCACCATTTCAGGGTCAAGGTAGCCGCTGACATTGGCAGCAGAAGCAGAAGCAGGAGCAGGAGCAGAAGCAGAAGCCTTGTTACCAACACTGGTCGGCTTCCAACCGTTGGAAGTGATGGCAATCGGTTTGATCTCCTGACCAGCGGTTAGGGGCATGGTCTTAGCAGCCTGGGCTTCCTTGGTATTGAAATCACGTCGGCTACCGCGGGTAGAGCGGCTAGACTGGCGGCCACTGGGCGAGTTGGGGCCAGCAGTTCTAGACTGTGATGAAGTACGAGACATGGCGGTGCCTGGGAATCCACCACCAGGACCACGGAATGATCCGATTGAGCCAACAGGGGGTCGAGGCATAGTGCCACTGGACATGGCCATGCGCTGCTCAGAGGTAGTGCCCGACGGCAATGTGCGGCCGGGAGGAGCGTTGAACGTCCCCATGGAGAAGGTATTGCTGCCGCGGTTAGAGGGCTGTCTAGGCGTCTGGGCGCGAGAACGGTCACCGTCTCCGATTAGGGACTTGACCTGCTGGTGGAACTCAAGAGAGGGTTGCTCGGTGAAGACCTTTTGGAACTGCAGCAGGAAAGCAGCGTCATACTTGAAGCTCTTGCCCTTCTTGGCGACAGCGGCGTTCAAAGCAGGGTTCGGGGAGTTGATGCCAGTCGGGTAAATCTCCTGGTCCATGACCTGCAGGAACCGAGAGGACTTGAGGGACTGAAGAGCTGCACTGGGCTGAGGAGGATCGACAGGCTTAGTGTTGAGGGGTGCAAGGTTGAGGGCGGCAGGCTTGGCTGAGCGCTTCTGACCGGCGGCATCGCCAGCAGCCTTCTCCTCGGCAATCTTCATGCCAGACAGTTTGTCGGTAACAGAGTCGACATTGGCGGCGTCGCCGTCCCCGCCACTTCGGGCAGCAGCAAGGGCCTCTGCAACAGACATTGTCTTGCCAGAGGCTTCGGTCTCCTTTTGACGTCGCTCCTTTTCCTCCTCCAGGCGCTCCATCTCGCGTTCCTGCTCCCGGAGTCTGCGGTCCTCCTCGGCAGCGCTGGCCTTGCGATTTTCTTCGTCCTTCTTCTTCTGTTCAGCCTTTTCGGCTTCAACCCGCTTACGGTGCTCTTCCTCTTCCTTCTCGCGTTTGGCATCGGCCTCTTCCATTTCCCGAATCATGCGCTCAATTTCATCTTCTTCCGTGTCTGCCTTGTCTGCGACAGGCTCAGCGGCAGGCTTCTCCTCTTCAGCCTTGTTTGGCTCCTCGACTTTGGCAGTTTCCTCGGGAGCCTCGGCCTTGGCAGTACTAGTAGTGGCAGCGGCAGCGTCCTTCTCGGCAGAGCCGTCGGCCGGCGCCTTGGTTGGAGTGACAGTCTGCTCTTTGCTCTTGGCTTCATTTGCGGCAGCTCCCTGTGTAGCTTGCTTTATCTTCTCCTTCAACTCATCCTGAATCTCCTTGGCCGTCTTGGGGGTAGCCGTGCTCTCAGAGCGACCATGGGCAGCAGGTGTGGATGATTTGGGCGGAGGAGTAGGGGTTGAGGCCACAGCAGGAGGAGTCTTCGACTGCTGACCAGTGGGGGCAGGAGAAACAGGTTGCTTGAAAGTTGAAGTGTCCACAACTTCACCAGCGGCATTCTTGATCTGAATAGCCGCGCTCTTCCTAGGCTTGACAAAGTTGTTGGGTCCAGGTTTCCCCTGAGAGTTGGGAGGCTGCGACGAACCGACAACGAGGGGTTGGCCTTGCTGGCTGGCGCTGGAAGGTCGCTCGGGTTGCGACGGGGTGCGAGACATACTGTGGCTTTGTTGAGGAGCATAGGGGGGCGCAAACTGCTGGTTATACGCTGGAGAGTTAGTCTGGGGAGGGCCCATGTACGGCGGAACGTTGTTATAGGCATATGGCATGGACATGGGTCGGCCGTATTGATCCATCTGCTGCGGGGGGTAGCCATAGTTCTGATGCTTCATAGTCAGCCAAAGTTCAAATCCACCACTTTCAGGAGATAAATCAAGGGAAGATGCGTCTTGAGGGGCAAACTTGGGCAGAGGTGGAGGAGCATGAGGATGGAGATGATTGTGGTATTGCACTGCCGACCTAACGTCGCCACCGGACACTTCACTTCGACTGCTACCAATGTCATGGTCACGCCACTGTTGCTCTGGCCGCTGTTGGAAACGGCGTTGAGGCTGACTAGGGTC